TGAAACATCCTGTGTGTTTGAAATCAGAAAAAAAGGGTTATTAAGCTAACATGATTAATACATTCTTGAGCTTACCCGAAGTTATACTTTATCTGAAGTCACTTGAAACACTGTGAAATACCGTATAAGATCAAAGGCAGTTTCACCGGTCCACGTGGAGTAAAGCACGCCTATGCGTGGACATAGCCAATGAGAAAGCGTGGATTTCAGAGCTCCGAACAAGTGCAGGTGGCTACTGAAAATTGAAACAGTTTAACCAGTGCCGTGTAGCGGTGAATAAACGTGTTTTCTTTAGTCTGTCCGTGTTTTTTCATAGATTTTATTAGTTTGTGTGTTTTTGACTTTTGAATACTCAGTTTACTTGTTGATATAATTGTTGTGTTGATTGTTCGTGTGTGTCCTAAATATGGCTCTTTGGAGACCTTGGGAAAATGCTCCAAGCCACGAGGAGATGGTTGATGAACCTGTGCAGGCAGAATTCTTTCATAAAGATTTAGAGGAACAGACCCAAAGAGTAATCCTAAATTTCCATTCCTTCCACAGAAAGCGCATAGGGCAAAAATTAAAAAGAATAGACGTGGGTTTTCAGGAAGATATTCGTCGTATAATATACGGATTTTATAAAGAAAATTTGGTGCCCACGTTGGAAATGATACGGGATAAATTAAAAGATTATCCTGAAGATTTTTATAATTACAAATGCTTAGACTCACTGCACTGTATTGTAAAACTGTGTGGTTTTCAATACAAAAAATTAGATAAAAGAATGGTGATTATGGAGTCGTCTCGAATCGTTGAATTGCGCCAAGAATTTTTGCACAAAGTTAAAATCTATAGAGAGCAGAAAAGAAATCTGATTTACCTGGATGAAACGTGGTATGATACCCATAATGTTGTGCAGTACGGCTGGGTTGACGACAGCAACAAGTGCATTTTAAATGCACCATGCAACCGTGGAAAACGAATCATTATTCTCCATGCTGGCAGTGAAAATGGATTTATACCTAATGCCTTGCTGTTATCTGCCAAAGATATCAAAGAATCATGTGCCGACTATCATGAGGACATGACCTCCGACTTATTTGAAAAGTGGATAGAGCAGCAGTTAATACCAAACATTTCCCCAAATTCAGTGATTATTATGGACAATGCGCCATACCATTCTCGACAGAAAACAAAATTCCGAATACAGGCACAAAAAAACAAGACATTATTGATTTTATGAAGGATAAGGGAATGGAAATACCACAAAAATCAACCAAAGCCATATTATTGGATCTTATTAAAAGACAAAAATTTGAAAAAGAGTATGTTGTTGACAATCTGCTTCAGCAAAATGGCCACGAAGTATTACGTCTACCTCCCTATTACTGCTTTTTTAACCCGATTGAGTTGGTCTGGGCTGCTTTAAAAAAAAAGTAAGAAAACATAATCAGACCCCTCATTTAAGTGAATCGCTATTGGCCACAATAAGAGATGCAGTATCTCATATTACTGCCACAGACCTATGGAAGCAGTGTTCTAGGCATATTATTGAAAAAGAAAATGAATATTGTGTTTTGCCTCCTGTAAATCCCGTTGTAATTCCTCTACAAGATGACTCTAGCGACAGCTCCGAAGGCGAGGATGATATATAAATACCTATAATGTAAGTCTTTATATACCTTTTTATATACCTACCTGCTATGTAAATATTTGCCTATGTCAAACGTTGGAATTCTGTAATTTTTCCATTTCTTTACTTTCAGTCAACATACATTAAACTCCCAATATAAGTATTTTTTATCCCAATTCAAAAAAATAAGAAGATAGTAAAATCCATTTATTGTGATATAAAAACATTATTATTATCGTTCTAAATAAGTGACCGCACGCCTAGGATACGTCATGAAATTACAAAGGACGCGCCGACCAAAGGTTTTTTATGCTATTTCAAGTGACTTCAGATAAAGTATACCTTTAACACCCGAGCAATCGCTTTATCGCGTCGCTTGACACCGGAGCCGCGTAAGGACATGCTGGCCGCGTTTCGAGGTTCAAGGCATTCCATAAATTCCTGGCCCACCTCCTCGTGGAATTGTTCCCGGGAGTTCTGCGTGGAAGTTCCGGCCGGTTGCCGGAAGTGGTCGTTGAACGCCGGCCAAGATTTACGATGGCCGACGGCGGCTGCAAATGCCGTACGGCACACCGCCCCGCCGCAACCGCAACGCTGCTGCTTCGAATGGTTCGGTGTGTGTGCTTTGCATGACCCTCTCGCCACTTTACCACTTCTAACGTAATTGCTCATGTTAAAACGCGACTGGGGTGGAGATCCGCAGTTGGGAAGGGTTGCGGCTAGTGAAATTCTCCAGAACAAAAAATTGAGAATATTCTCAATAATAATAATAATATATGTATTGCCCAACAGATACATCCATTTAAAGGACTTTGTAATTGAATACAATTTGACGTTACAATATTTTTAACTACAATCATAGCTTGTCCAGTTTCTGAAAAAAAAATGAAAGAAAAAAATGATAAATAAATGCTATAGTTCAATAATAGTAGACGCTGAATACGGGTAATATATCTTTGACTTTATCATGATGAATGTCACAATTATCAGCTATGGTGTTAAAGCTGGAGCACATAAAGTACACGGGTGACTTAATTATAACATTAGAATTTTTTGTTTTTAAGTAAAAAACGAGAAATCTTCGGGAAATGCGGGACGGTACATGAAAATCAACTTTAGCTAATAAAGCTGAAGAATCAACATCACTGTGTACGAGTTTGTAAAGGAATTTTGAACTCTTACAAACTCTTCTCAGCACAAGAGGATGCATTTCAAATCTGAGCAACATTGCTGATTGGAGAGTCCCACGATTGGGATAAACACCATCTAATTTGAAAGTCAAGTATTTAAGAAATTTCCTCTGTACACTTTCAGTTTCATTAGTATAGATTTGGTCATATGGATGCCATACACTAGATGCATATTCCAGCTTAGAACGCACCAAGGTGCAGTATAAATCCTTCAGTGCCGTTTCACTACCAAACAATTTGCAGTTTCTTATAAAAAACCGAGACTTTTTATAGCGGATGATACTATTATACTAATATGACCTGTAAATTCTATACTGACATATAAATCCGAACACCCAGATTAAATGGTTTTATTTTAATAAAAGTTGGTGAATGTATTTATCTTACTGTAAATAACAAGTGAAAAAATTTTCAGCCTTATCAGTTGGACATTCCGGTTTTTATACCGCTTTTTTTTAATTCACTAACGCTCTAAAAATGAATATTTCAGCCGCAGTAAAGAATCAACGTTGGCGAATTTTGGTTCTTGACATCATTTACGATCGGTTACGATGCCTAGAGTACGGAGACCGGTACGATTTCTTCAACTTAGTGAGTTTGATAGGGGCCGTATAGTGGGACTTCGGGAAGCTGGACTTTCTTTTCGGGCAATTGCAGTTAGAGTGCAAAGAAGTGTAGACACTGTGGTTAGGTGTTGTCAGGCATGGTTTCGAGAAGGCCGTACGCAAAGAGCAAGGGGCACTGGACGCCGCCGTAGAACAACAGACCGTGAAGATCGCCGCCCAAGATTATTGGCCTTAAGGGACCGTTTCTCCATTACCAGGTTCATTGCAAATGAATGGTTTGCAGAACACGGAAGACCTATTAGCATGCGAAGTGTTTACCGACGAATGGGAAGTTTTGGCTTGTTTTCATACCGGCCACACTGGGTCTTCCCTTTAACTCGAGAACACCGACGTAATCGCCTTGAGTGGTGCAGACAACGGTCACTCTGGGATCAGGAATGGAACAGTATTGCCTTTGGTGACGAGTCTCGATTTTGTTTAGGCATGCACGATGGTCGTGCCAGGGTTAGAAGGCGACGTGGTGAAAGGAGGAATCCACAGTTTTTTGTTGAAAGACATGTTCATCACACTGTTGGAGTTATGGTTTGGGGTGCTATAGCTTATGGTTCCAGGTCACCTTTAATCTTCATCAGAGGTAACATGAACGCGCAGCGTTATATCCACGAGGTTCTAGAACCCCATCTTTTACCCTATCTTGACACCCTGGCATATCCAACTTTCCAACAAGATAATGCTCGACCACATGTTGCAAGAGTCACAATAGACTTCTTTCAACATAATGATGTCACATTGTTACCATGGCCACCAAGATCTCCCGACTTATCCCCAATTGAGCACGTGTGGGATATGATGGGTAGGAGATTGCTCAATTTGCAACGTCCTCCTCAGACTCTAGAAGCACTTCGAGAGGAGTTGGTGGTTGCCTGGAATGAGCCACAGGAGGACATTGACCACCTGATCAGAAGCATGCCTAGGCGCGTTGGAGAATGCGTAGCACATCAGGGTGCATCCACACATTATTGAAGGTCAAAGGGCTTTAAAGCAGTGCAATCATTTTGAAATTTTCATCATTTACTTATTATGCTTCATTAAGTACTTATACAAAATTTTATTAAAATAAAACCATTTAAACTGGGTGTTCGGATTTATATGTCACTTAGTATAATTTAACATCAAACAACACACCTAGATCCCTTACTTCTGTACAACGGATCAAACTGACAGCTTCCAGTGTGTAATCAAAAACTATTGGATTCGTTTTTCTGGTAAAAGAACAGGTTTAACATTTGCTAACATTCAAAAATAATTTAGTAGTTGCACACCATTCAGGTCAGCTTGCAAGATTAGACAGTCATCAATGCTGTTAATCTGAGCATATATTTTTAAATCATCGGCAAACAACAGAGAAGGACAGGTTAAGCAGTTAGAGGGGTCATTGATAAAATAAAAAAAATGATGATAATTTTCAGAGAACGACCTACTAGAAGTAGTTAAACCAACACATAATTTAAGATTTCATTGAATATTAACAAAAATAAAATATAATAACTTCGGTGATAAATAATAAAAATATTCTCGTTTTCACAAAAGAATAAAAAAACAAGATAAACACTCAAAGACAGACTAAAGTTAAGAAAATGAATCTGAATCAGAAAAAATGTCCAGATCACTGTTTTCATCCTCTGACGTCTCCGACTCATCACCATCATCGTTAGACTCCAAGATCATTCTCACTGCCTCTATTTTTTCAAGACCTTTCTTCGACTGGCAGTGCAAAGTGTTGTCGTCTTCGTATTTGGACCGCTTGGACATCGCTGATACCTGGTCCAATAGTGTTAAATTATGTTAGCTTACCGGTTCGCTCAGCTGTCAGTCAGTTTCTTTTTGACACCTCTGGGAATCTCCAAGCAGTCCGTTTTGCTCGCTAAAAGTAGGTTTTCGTCGGTAACGCCCAGCCTGGTAAAGTCGCGTGTACACGATTCTGCTAAAAGCATTTTGAGAAAATTACCGGTGGGTTTTTTCTAACGAGAATATTCTCGAGAATTTTTGGTGTTACCCACAGAGTCGAACGTTTTACTCAGAATTTGTACAAAATCTACACTATCTGTTTGAAGAGTTGATAAAACCTTTACAGCGAATATTCATTCCTTGTTTTTCTTGAAGAAGAAAAACAATGGTTATGGCATTTACCCTAAAAAAAAAAAAGCAGAAAATTAGGTTATGGTAAAGTTACAAATCTAATTATTAGGCAACAAATGACAGTTGTATACCAAATGCTTACATTAGGAGCAACTTGTTGATAACAGTAGTAATTTTGCAAACGAAAACAACAAGGCTCAGGTTTGTTGTATAAATGTTACCATGAATGCAACAACATAATTATTTTGACTGTCGAGTTAAGATACTGTATAAAATAGTTGTATAAAGGTCTGTGCAACAGGTCAACATTTATCCTATCATGTGTTGTATAACTATGATGCAAGGATGTTTTAGATATCTAATTTTCGAGCAAATATGCTGCAGGCATTAAATTTGCATATCACGTAACATTAACCCTGCATTTTGGTAATCAGACAACAACAAAAAAGAGCTTTTTCAGCTCAAGTGTTCTTTTGCCGAAAACTTATATCAGCACTTTGCTAGTTGGGATATAACCCTCAATCAATCAAACAACTTGAAACCTTCATTTTAAATAAATTATGTTGGCTTCGGCTTATACAGGGTGGCCAAACACGTGACGTCATAAAAAAAAATTAGATTCCCCACATCGAGAGGAACCCAAATCACCCCCATATATATGGTCCTGGAATGCGGCCTGCCATGAAAGTGTTATGTGTGTTAATAAAAACACGGTGGTCTGGGTAATGCTCAGGTTGTGGTCCGCCTCGGCGTATAAGTTGTTCCCGGTACAGCTGAGCTGCTAAAGCGCCGTTGCCTTGAGCAACGCCATAGTAATAATGCATCGACATTTCAACACCGTTTTAGTGTGAACATGTGGTCAGGAATATTCAATATGGAATTTATCGGTCCATTTGAACTGCCGTCAAGGTTGGATTCGGTAGCCTACAAAAGCTTCCTTGAAAATAGCCTACCATTATTGCTGGAAGATTCAAGCCTGGAAGCCAGACGGAACATGGTGTTCCAGAATGATGGTGCACCATGCCACAACGCAACGATCGTGCGAAACTACTTAAACGAAAGGTTCCCAGACAGATGGATCGGACGAAACGGACCGATACGATGGCCTCCACGCTCCCCTGACCTCAACCCCATTGATTTTTTTGTTTGGGGATATTTTAAAGACATAACATTCGCCCAAGAATGTGCAAATGAAAATTCATTGAGGAACAAAATTCAAGAAGCGACACATGTGTTGAAAAACAACACACAAGCATTTAGAGATTTAAAACAAAATTTCATACGTAGGTGTACACTGTGCATTTCTGTTAGAGGCAGACATTTTGAAAACCTCTTGTAAATAACATAAATGAATAATAATCTGCTGTTCAGTAAAAATCAAACGTGTTTTTGTGGTTTTTGCAATTTTTTTTTCCGAAACTAACAATTTCTATTGAGCAGAGGGTTATCCAATTTTGGGTTCGGTTCTATTTGAGCCACAATTACGGTAGCATGTAGTAAAGCTAGGTTGATGAAATTTTTACGGTAAATAGCTGATACCGTAAGGAAGTTTTTAAGATACTTACGAATAGTAAGAACATGTTTTTTCAATTTTTTATAAACGTTCAAAGTTGTTGCACTTTTTTACTTTTTTGTTATGTTCGAAGATTTTGAAAAAAATTAAAAAGTAGTATTAGTTACATGACTTGAATGATTATATGATAGTTAAGCCTTAGGTCTTAGCTACATAATCGTGAAAAAAGCAGGCATTTATCACAATTATTAACGAAGTTATGGTAAAAATAAACACAGAACTCAAAAATTCTGGAAAAATCCGAAAAAAAATCATAACTCCTAAACTAAACAAAATCGGACCATATATATGTGGGTGATTTGGGTTCCTCTCGATGTGGGGAATCTAATTTTTTTTTTATGACGTCACGTGTTTGGCCACCCTGTATATAAACACTGAAAAACAAAAACATGCTGCTTCTGTTTACATTCAAAGTATGTACTCGTACTTAGTAGAGGTGTGAAATACGAGTAGGAGGATACGGGACGTAGGATGAAACATTTTTACAAAGTATCATCACTATGAGATAGATATAAATGTGGAATTTCTTAAATAAGATTCAGCATATAGAACAGGAAAAAAGGAGAAATGGCAAACAACTTTGCTGAAACCGCTAACGAAGTTTTTAAGTCTCTTTCTGAAATAGATGAAAAGTTGGCAAACATATTTCAAATGAGAAATAATCTTCATATACGAAATCTGTATCACAAAATTCCATGCATCTGACACCAGCTAATCAGAGTGAAATTAAAGATATTATCAAAAGTCTACAAGTAAAAAAATCACCTGGATTTGATAGCATACCTGTAAATGCTTATACTTTGAAGGAAATAAACCAGAACACTTCCAAAGCATTAGCGTATCTGATAAACTCTTGTATGAAAACCGGATTATTCCCATCCAGCTGTAATCAAACCCATATTGAAATTGATAACAATACACCATCTGCGTGCATTATTTCTGTGGATTTATCCAAAAGGTTTTGATGAAAAACTTCTAAATACCTTAGAAAATTCGGAATTTCGGAGACGAGCTTATAGATAGTTAGTTGAAAAATAGAACACAATGTGTTCATATCTCACTAGCGGAGACGTTACAGTTAGGTATGGAGTTCCACAAGGAACTGTGTAAGAACCACTTTTATATAATCTATATGTTACTGATCTTTTTAAATTGAATAATGATAGAAAAATTATTGGTTAATGACGTAATTATGTATTCAGGTAATGTTCGGGATTCTTTAAAGAACAAAATTGAATTGGATTTTCAAAAGATAATCAATTTATTCACTGAAAGAATTTTGATAACAAAACATACGTTTCCGTCCGATAAGAGATCTTATTTGTTTAATACATTCCATATTAAAACACCATTTGGCTACAAGTACATAGAATCAGTAAATTATATCAAATACTTAGGGATCATTATAGATAATAATTTAAAATGGAATATTTATGTTGAAAACTTTCAGCAGCTTTCTAAATCTAAAAATATATACATGATTATCACGCACTTATCTACCCACTTATCTCTTATGGAATTTTATCGTGAGATGGAGTCATAAATCATTATTATAAAACAATCGAAAATGCTCAGAAGTGGATATTAAAGATTATGTTTAACAAAAATAAATTATATCCAACGGAAGATCTTTATAGTGAATCACAAATTTTGGACTCAAGACAATTTTATTTCTATAATATAATCATTTTTTTAACTAAACATACAAATTGCAGATCACAATCATCAAACACGATTTAAAACCACATCAGCAACTATACCCAGAATAAATAAAACTAATAATCGATCATTTTATTTTCTAGGCCAATATTTTATAATATTTAAAACATATGCAGTTCAAAAAACATACCAAAGCTAAATCATAGACATCAAAAAACAGTATGTCCTAGGACTAAATTATTATCACTAGGGATATACATTTGACCAAACTATAAAATATTTTGTGTTTTAAACATTTGAAGTTTGATTTATTGTATGTAAAGCCCAAGCACAAGTTGGGTATTTCATGCTTATATTTTCATAAAATGTATTTCCATCATTTTGTAGAGTTGTCCAATAGGGACGCAGGTAAACGTCAATTTGACATAGACGCCATCTTTGTTTTCTGTCACCGACATGTCATTTTGTTAGTTGAATGTTTACCATTGATCGCTATGGAGTCGTATTCGATTGAAGACCGCATTAAAGTTATTCAAGAGCACTACAAAAATGGTGCAAAAATAAAAAAACACGTTTCGCGAGCTTCGTGAACATTTCGGTCGCAACAACCGCCCAAACGAAACAACCATCGCTCGTCTGGTGCGTAAATTCGAGGCAACAGGTTCTGTGGCAAATCTGCCAGGCTCTGGCCTGCCAAGGAGCGTTCGCACACCGGAAAATATTGCTGTTGTGAAGGAGAGTGTGAGAGACGATCCGAAACAATCAACAACGCGTCGATCCCAAGAATTGGGCATTTCGAGAACCAGTTTGCTCCGCATTCTCCACAAGGATTTGAATGTACACGCCTACAAGATCCAATTGACGCAAGAGCTGCGTCGGGCCGATCATTTTTCGCGCCGAACGTTCTCAGATTGGCTCGTTGAACACCGCCAAATTGATGCCAATTTTTCATCAAAAATCATGTTCAGCGAAGAAGCGCATTTCACTTTGAATGGGACGGTAAACAAGCAAAACTGCCGCATCTGGGCGAACGAAAATCACCGTGAGTATCAAGAGCAGCACAAATACAAAAAGTGACTATGTGGTGTGCATTGTGGTCAAAAGGCATCATCGGACCTTACTTTTTCAAAAATGCCGGCCGGGGACGCCGTTACCGTCAATTCTGAGCGATATCACGTGATGATAGAGGACTATTTTTGCCGCAACTTGAAGGAATGGATATGGACGATGTTTATTTCCAACAAGACGGTGCAACATGCCACACAACCAACGTCAGTATACATCGATTGCAGTCCTTCTTCGGTGATCGCGTGATTTCGCGCAGAGGAAATGTGCCATGGCCACAAGATGGTACGATTTGAATCCCTTGGACTTCTTTTTATGGGGATATTTGAAAAGCAAAGTCTACGTCAACAAACCAGCCACCCTGCAAAAACTCAAAAACAACATC